TATTGTTTTCCTCTATTTCTTTGCATTGATCACTGAGGCAGGCTTTCTGCTTGCTATTCTTTGGAACTCTGCATTCAAGTGGGTATATCTCTCCTCTCCATTGCTTTTCGCTTCCCTTCTTTTCACAGCTATTTGTAAGGCCTACTTGGACAACCATTTTGCCTTTTTGCATTTCTTTTTCTTAGGAATGGTCTTGATCCCCGACTCCTGTACAATATCATGAACCTCTGTCCATAGTTCTTCAGGTACTCCATCTATCAAATCTAACCCCTTGAATGTGTTTGTCACTTACACTGTATAATCATAAGGGATTTGATTTAGGTCACACCTAAATGGCCTAGTAGTTTTCCTTACTTTCCTTACTTTCTTCAATTTAAGTCTGAATTTGGCAATAAGGAGTTCATGATCTGAGCCACAGTCAGCTCCTGGTCTTGTTTTTGCTGATTGTGTAGCGCTTCTCCATCTTTGGTTGCAAAGAATATAGTCAGTCTGATTTTGGTATTGACCCTCTGGTGATGTTCATGTGTAGAGTCTTTTCTTTTGTTGTTGGAAGAGGGTGTCTGCTATCACCAGTGTGTTCTCTTGGCAAAACCCTATTAGCCTTTGCCCTGCTTCATTCTGTACTTCAAAGCCAAATTTGCCTATTCATCAGGCATTTCTTGACTTTCTACTTTTGCATTCCATTCACCTAGAATGAAAAGGACATCTTTTTTGGGTGTTAATTCTAGAAGGTCATAGAACCATTCAGCTTCTTCAGCAATACAGGTTGGAGCATAGATTTGGATTACTGTGATATTGAATGGTTTGCCTTGGAAACAAACAGAAATCATTCTGTCGTTTTTGCGATTGCACCCAGTGTTGCATTTTGGACTCTTCTGTTGACTATGAGGCCTACTCTATTCCTTCTAAGGGATTCTTGCCCACAGTAGTAGATATAATGGCAATCTGAGTTCACCCATTCCAGTCCATTTTAGTTCACTGATTCCTAAAATGTCAATGTTCACTCTTGCCATCTCCTGTTTGACCACTTCCAATTTGCCTTGATTCACGGACCTAATAGTCCAGGTTCCTATGCAATATTGCTCTTTACAACATTTGACTTTACTTCCGTCACCAGTCACATCCACAACTAGGTACTGTTTTTGCTTTGGCTCCATCTCTTCATTCTTTCTGGAGTTATTTCTCCACTGTTCTCCAGTAAAATGCTGGGCACCTACTGACCTGGGGAGTTCATCTCTCAGTATCCTATCTTTTTGCCTTTTCATACTGTTCATGAGGTTCTCAAGGCAAGAACACTGAAGTGGTTTGCCATTCCCTTCTCCAGTCTCCTTTTGTCAGAACTCTACACCATGACCCATCCATCTTGGGTGGCCCTACACGGCATGCCTCGTGGTTTCATTGAATTAGACAAGGCTGTGGTCCATGTGATCAGTTTGATTAGTTTTCTGTGATTCTGGTTTTCGTTCTGTCTGCACTCTGATGGATAATGACAGAGGCTTATGGAAGCATCCTGATGCAAGAGACTGACTGATGGGGAAACCGAGTCTTGTTCTGATGGGTGGAATGCAAAAAAAGGAAGTCAAGAGATACCTAGAATAACAGTGTACAGGAGGCAGTGATGGAGACCACCCCCAAGAAAAAGAAATGCAAAAAGGCAGAACAGTTATCTGAGGAGCCCTTATGAATAGCTATGAAAACAAGAGAAGCAAGAAGCAAAGGAGAAAAAGAAAGATATATCCATTTGAATGCAGAGTTCCAAAGACTAGCACAGAGAGATAAGAAAGCCTTCCTTAATGATCAATGCAGAGAAATAGAGGAAAACAATAGAATGGAAAAGACAAGAGATCTCTTTAAGAAAATTAGAGATAACAAGGGAAGTTTTCATGCAAAGATGGGCACAATAAAGGACAGAAATGATATGGACCTAACAGAAACAGAAGATATTAAGAGGAGGTGGCAAGAATACACAGAAGAACTATAGAAAAATGATCTTCACGACCCAGATAATCGTGATGGTGTGATCACTCACCTAGAGCCAGACATCCTGGAATCTGAAGTCAAGTGGGCCTTAGGAAGCATCACTATGAACAAAGCTAGTGGAGGTGACAGAATTCCAGTTGAGCTATTTCAAATCCTAAAAGATGATGGTGTGAAAGTGCTGCATTCAATATGCCAGCAAATTTGTAAAACTCAGCAGTGGCCCCAGGACTGGAAAAGGTCAGTTTTCATTCCAATCTTAAAGAAAAGTGATGCCAAAGAATGCTCCAGCTACCGCACAGTTGCACTCATCTCACATGCTAGCAAAGTAATGCTCAAAATCCTCCAANAGTCTGTAAGCAAGAACTTTAAATGGGGAGTTCCAGGGCTATATAGGAGAAAGGAGGGGACTCCATGCAGAAACAGCACACAGACCACTCTAATGGCAGAGAGTGAAGAAGAACTAAGA